AGGAGTCAATGACCATTGGGGGGGGGGCACACGGGGTGGCCAATCAGATTTCAGGGGAGCAGGTGACGCCTGTGACACCATGGAAGCCCCGCCTCTGCGTGGGCGCCTTGAAGGAAACATGTTTTATAGAAAGCTGTTGCAAGTCAGTGTCGAAATAGTGTTAATATCCTCGATTAGTTCACAGCATGACTAACCACCGAAAACCATATAAAGGCCTTATCTTAATCTTCTACCTGGCATCGTAAAAACGCCAGAATATATGAATCACGTTAATCTAGTTCATTATACCATTTTCCAAAGGATTAGAAATGACTTATAGTAAAAAAAAAAAAATCTACCTTCGTTGACGAAACTCGCAATAAATAAATAAATAAATAAAAGAAAGAAGAAAAAAAACATTGACTCCTTTATACCACATACAGCGTTACTTTTTCACGGGGAAAGCTAGATCAGTAGCAACTCGAGGTGTCATAGCCTCTGTTTTGTAGATTGTTCAGTGAAAATATAACAATCAAAATCATTATTTTCCATCCTTTTTGAAAACTGAAAAGACCAAAATGATCGACCATATTCACAAAGCATCCGTAACTTTTATGACGTCATCAAAATAAGCCCCATTTGTTTTGTTTTTTTCTCCAAAAAATAGAATCAGGCGCCATGACACCTCCAAGAGTTGCTATTGACCTAACCTTCCCCGTTACGTTACTTCACAGTCCATTGTACAGTACAATCAATGGCCAAAACTTTTGTCCATTTTTTAAATTTTTTACTCCGTTTCATACCACACTTTTCGTAAAGGATAAGATAGATTCGAGACTTCATTCATTAAAAGACTTTTTTGTTCGTCACTGTCCCGCGTCAAAATTTTCCCGACTGTTTCTCATGCAGCCAAATAGGGTCATGTTTGTTTCCTCTTCCGGTGAAACCTATGACGTGTTTTAACTTGTTATTATTATTCATTTGTATTCTTAAGATGTGTAGGTATTATTATCGTATCCTTATCATGAAGAAAAATTTGAAAGGATAATAGAAATAACCGTGATGATAATGTTAATGACAATAACTAAGCCAATGGTAATAATAATATTTATAATGATAGTAATAACAATAATAATATTGATAAAACGATAATAATAATACTATTAGTAATAGAAATAAAAAATGATGATGATCGTAACGATATTGATAGTAATAATAATGATGATAATAACAATAATAATCATCATCACTATCAAAACATTCGCACAATTTGTAATCCGGTAAATCCCTTGGCAAAGCACATCGAACTTATCAAGTCCGAAAGATACGTACGTAATAATCCCATGATATTAAATAATAAAAAACAAAAAAACACGTTGAAATAAAGAGATAAGATATACTCCACAGGAAGTAAAAGTTTCCGGTCTTCTGCGTACGACTCACTAAGCAGAAATACTTTGTTCATATATGATATTACCCTTTCTTTACCTAGAGGGAGAGGAAGTGGCCGCTTTGTGTATATGGTCACGTGGATGGACAAAAGATGTCTGGGAATATTGCTGTCTTATGGGATTGAACATTTATCTTATCAGTCTCTAGTTTTACCATCATCTATATATTTCCGTATGACTCAGGTTTTGAGATTAGCTACATGTTTCTGCAACAAGCAGTACATGCACGCATGAATAGGCACACACACAGACAGACAGACAGACAGACAGACAGACACACACACACACACACACACACACACACACACACACACACACACACACACACACACACACACACACACACACACACACACACACACACACACACACACACACACAGAGTCCTTATCAGCAAAGCAAAAAGCACAGGCTTAACACACTAATAACAAACACAAAAAGCCACGTGTGTGTATATCAACGGTTGTAATATTATTGTCAACACATTCAATACCCAAGACTTGTGAACAATTGATCGGTTAATGCAATTTGTTTGTGATACTTCTCTGCTTTTAACATCAAGGTAAGTCTGGCAAGTTTCAATTTATCATATATGTGTTATTGCTAACATCTTGAAGCATGCTGTTGTTCTTATTGTTTCGAGCATTTAAACATTTTTTCCTTATTTTTCATTATCAAGAAGTTATAAGGCAGTACATGTGCATTCTTAAATTTTTGGTGATACTGTTCTATTCTTCAAAAAACCAGTGCTTTCCAGAATGAGCAAGTTTTTTTTTTTTTTTTTTTTAAGCATACATATTGTCAGTTTCTAGGCTCTTCTGTTGAACATATTAGATATATATTTCATCATTTATTACCTTGTCCACTTCAATTATCTATTTAGTTATTTTGTTTATTTTACAATACTTGCATGTCCTTTTCTTACTGTTTTACTTGTCACTGCATATATACTATATTACAATATTTGTAGCTTTATCATCTTATCCATTTGAATTTTCTGATATTTATTATTCTAAATTAGTATCATCTTTATCAGGATTTTTATATTTTGCATGTGGCTCTCAAACAAGACCCTAGGTAACACGAGCAGAGAATGGTGCAAAGTACACATGTATGTTCACCCTTTACTTTATCTCGATTTTCCTCCCTCAGATGAAGCCCAGTGTGCAGGTGGCAGTGGTGTTGGTGGTGGGGGGGTAGGGGTGGCCAGTGCCGCACCTTTTCCATTTTCAGTCGTGGACTCTCCTCAGACAAGACTTTTCCAGTCCCTTTCTCCAACTGGTACGGCAACATGCATGTGGCATTGGAATATCTTTTTTTTTCTTTCTTTTTTTCTTTAATCAGAAAGAAAAAACTTCTTTTCCTGAAGCTTAATAATCAGGTATAAGTTATTAGATATTCAGTATTAGGCTTGCCTTAGTTTACAACTCCCCTGTACATTCAGTATCAAGTGTATATATTCTATACATGATACACGACACCATGCCACAAGCCTTTGTTCTTCATTTGGTTCTATTATTGATACTAATTTCTATTCTTCTTGACAGAGCGGACTGCAGTGCTTCATATGGCACTTACTGGCCAAGTTGCTAATAAATTGATGATACCTGGTCAAGCATCTCAAGGTCGCTTGGTTAGTGATAGTTGTTTAAAGTCTATTTCAGCTTCTTTCCTTACTAGTATATACAAGAAATTACCTACCTGTTTCTTCAAAAAAAACATTTTGTCAGATGTCATTTTGTGTATTATTAGGTTGACATAACTAGTCTGAACTCACAAGTTTTCACATGAATTCTCCTCTTCCTGAAAGCTTTAGAGGTACTGTTATAACTCCCTCTGAGTAATCATGCATTGAATAATATTGCCACACTGTCTCCCATAATACACAATTCTCTTTTCATAATTATTCATATTCTCTTCTCAGGCTGAACCCCAGGTTTTGATACTGGCACTCCAATTACGCTACTGGATAAGGACTCACTGGCAACTAACACCTGAACAGATACATGAGATTGAGGAAACAGGCAAATTATGTAATAATGAAGGAGTGTGCATTGACTTCGGTGGCGACTGGGGAAGTAACTGCTGTCCATTCGGCTAAGATTCTGATTCTGGGATATTACAAGGGAAAATGCCTGAGCAACTTCAATGGATAACAGTTGCAGCCTTCCACAATGTTAAATGAAAGACAGATCACACATGATTTTAAAATAAATTTCCAAACAATGACTAATTTCAGTTCACCAAATTTACCTACTGCCTCCCATATTACAAGCCTATATCAAAAAACTATCATCATGTCACCTATTATTTCACTTTAAAATCATTTCTTGCAACTGGGTATCAAACATCTCATGAAGAGCAAAGATAAAATGCAATAATACATAGCCAGCCACTACAGTTTACAGTATATAATAAAAATAAAGGTGTTATGAAAATTTCTCTCCAAATTAGATAATTATGTGATCTTATTTTTTATATAAAAAAATTAATGACAATTTATCAATTTGATCAATTAATACTTTTGTAGATCCATAAGACAACTTTCATAAAAGCATCGAAGGGACCCACTAAGAATAAAGATAATCAAATTTCAATTCATCTTCTACTGTCATATAGGGTACACTGCATTTCAGCGAGCTTATATTTTCATATGGTACAAAATATTTTCAAATCTGAAATTAATATTCTTAGGTCAATTTGAAGAAATAGATACAAATAAAACAAAAAGAAATTTCATGAATCTTATTTACATTCAGAGCGGTTGTCCATATACAAATCACTTCAGCACAATGATTGTTCAACATTATATATACTAAAGAATACATTCACATTTAACTTGAATCTCATAGCCTTTTACATAGTCGCTTCCTCTTGTTCCGGGAACCTCGTGTGTCGATTCTTCCGTGCAAGGGCATCTAACTCCTCAGCCTCTTCTGGGAAGATTGGTTCTGCCACATGCTCCCAGTGGAATGCCTTCCAAGGTATACGTTCACGAGGGTTGACTGAGTAGTGGTTAATACGGCATCGGACATTCGCCTCCTCCTTGTCATTGATCTGACAGTAAAGAGGATATTTAGGCAAGGTTGTCAGTTGCATGTGGAACTTTTAAAGATCAGACGTTTGTATTATTCACATTCTTTTAAAACTATTCCTCGCTAGCTGATATTCATCAATAATACCTTGTAAATTCTAGACACAGTAAATAAATAAAGAAATAAAAATAACAAATACCTGATAAAGTGTACTAGCCTACTTTTGTACAAATATACATCTAATAAAACATATATACCAATATGGTAAGACTCACCCTTTAACATGCCCAAACATAAATCAGTTCAAGTATTCCTCTACAAATACATATTAACACACCCATACCATTTGTTTACATTCCACACAGACACATTTAAAACAAACACAATCGTATTTATGCAAATATCTACTCATATATGCTTTTGTGCTTGTTCCACAGAAAAACATATTGAGAGACAGACAGTCACACACGCACTCACATGTACGCACGCATGCGCGCGCACACACACACACACACACACACATACACACACACACACACACACACACACACACACACACACACACACACACACACACACACACACACACACACACACACACACACACACACAAAATGAATACATCTTATATCTCTATTACCTTCACTTTCACAAGGAACTCCTTGTCCTGCAAATCAAGATCTGGGCCAGTGATCGGTTTGGCAGGAAGCGTCAGAGCTTCCTCGGGAACAATGATTCCAGCCTTGCGGAAAGCAACCCGTACATGCCAGGGTTCCACTTGCCACGGATTCTTCATGTTCATGCTCAGGGAAATCACACGGGTAGAAAGTTGTTCAGCAGTCTGTGAAATATTGAGAGTCGTGAGCTTATAAACAAAGTGAAAAGCTTTACTATGTTTACTGAGATAAAGATACTATACTGATCAAACAGATACTTATTCTCTGATCCCTAGTCAATGACAAAACTAAAACAATTTGGTATAAGCCTTCAAAACAATTTGGTATAAGCCTTCAAAGGATAACATAAGAAATATTGTTTAAATCCCTTGATTACAAGTTTCCTCCCAAAAAGGACCTTTTAAGTCCATAACAAATTCAGGTGTTGATAGCCCAATGTCCTTATGGGATAACTACTATTCTCCCTGGACCAAAACCCTACTAAGCCAGTACGTAAGCTTCAGGTGGGAGGTCATCTAGGACAACCATGAGACCAAAATGACATGTACCTGTCTAAAGTAATTAGAAAATGGGAAATTCCAGCTTAATTCTATGACATCGATAGGGAGTCACATTGTCAAAAGGGTCAAGTTAAAGGTGCACAAAGAGCAATACTTGGCAAGATTGTCAAAAAAATAAAAAAATAAAATAAATTAAAAAAATAAAATAAATAAATAAATAAATAAAAAATAAATGATCAATGTAATAAATATCCAAAGTAAAACATTCTCAGATGAAACAGCTTGTTTTTATTGTGCAGACATGAGAAAGAGGAAGAGAAAAAGAAAAAAAACTTTCCATCCCTTGTGCACATAAGACTGATCCTTGCCGTCTTTTGAAGGGATAAGGGATGTTAAGTGTTTCATAATCATCTTTTTCTTTACAAAGCCATACCTTATGCTGTCATTAATTGTGACCACCTACACCCCAAATTCTCAACTAAAGTAATCCCTGGGCAAAAAAGACATAAATCATTTTCTTTTTTAAATGCTACTCAACTCACTCTCAAAGCAAAAGGAGATGAGGGCTGGTCTTTAATCTCTGATGTCTCGATGAGATTGGAGTATTTTTCCAAGTTCTCTGGCGATGCATAAACAGCAAGACCGGGTAAAAGCAGATGGTTTCTTGCTCGATGAGGTTTCACTTCTACAACATCTCCGACTGATCCTAAACCTGTTAATGAGGAGCAAAACATGTCATTTAGGTTCTTACAAATCCATGAATTAGATATAGTGCAATCCTCATATTTTAGAAACTTTAAAACACTTTTTGTTTTTAGATCTAAGATTCATTCAAGAAACTTTAGTGGTACTAATCAACAAATTACAGTACTGCAATCTATCTGCTTCTGGGTGTACTATCTTAACCATTACATAAAACCATGTAACCCTAACCATAGAAAAATAAGAAAAATAAGAAACCAATCATCATTTTCAGATACTACATGTATTTCATAATCAAGATGTATCCTATACATTCCTACTAATATATCACATAAGGCTGACTTACCTTCTACCGGTTTAGTCAATATGACCTTTACTGGATCCTTCTTCCTCACATTGGTGTCCTCCACCATTTCGTAAAGATAGTGACGTGCCCTAAAGGGGCGCATCTTTCCAGTTGTCTTATGCAGCTCAACTTTTTTCTTACGTTTAAGAACGAAAGTGGTCTGCCAAGGAGTACATGAAAACAAATTATAAACTGAAGTAACCATTTACAACCCAACCTAAGCCCCTCCCCCTCCCCCCAAAATACTGTTTATTATCCAATACTACTGCTGTTATAGCATCCATTCCCTGTATCTTTATGACTACTACTGAAGTTGTGTCAGATAATGTCCATGATGGGGTCTCTGAAATATCATATGCACACTGGACACTTAGCAAAAACATATCATAAACTATGGGTCACTGCAGTATACCTATACTACCAAATAAAACCACAGATTTTGCTGTGTTTGGTATCACAATGAATTTCAAGATAGCTAAATCTTTTAAAAGAAGTCAAATAATTACATAAATCAAAAGTCAACAAATCTGAAGTAGACAGAGTTAGACTCTGACATCACAAATGGAGATTAATCCTAAAATCAATCAATAATTCTACAGTATTCCCTGTCAGGGTGACATAACATATTACTATGGATATGTATTTGTATGACTGTGTGTCACAGGAATTTTGGTGTGGAGAGGGATGTCTCATCTCACAAAATAGATCGCCAGGGACTCTCACCTCAAGAGGACACACTCCCAACCTCTCCCCTTGTTCTCCCACATGCAAAGTGACTGACTAAGATTTTGCCCCATGTTCTGTCGCCCTTTGATGTGCCTTAATTTCTAGTGCATCAATAAACCCCATAGTAAAGTGAAGAGTATTTCTGTTAGCATGACAGTGAACTGAAAAGGGAAATAGGCATGCTCAATTCCATGTGCACACTTGGACCCATAGCAGCTGCTGCAGTTTAATGTATCATCTAGTGGTCACTTTAGAACAAAGTATCGAAAATCAAGGAAAAGGGTAAACAGGTGACAGGTAGTTTGCGTAATTGGCTCATTGGTGATTTAGTACTTGTAGAGCCACTTATATCTAAAAACAATTACTAAATTCAACATGCACAATGGGCAATGGCATGTATATACATGCCATGCCCAGCGGCTTGGGTTTAAGATCAGAACTTTACAACTTGCCCTGAACATGAAGCAAAGTGTAACAGGTACTATGGCAAGTTTGATACAGTAAGCACAGGGCAAGGTTATTCTGATGAGAGAACTATTTCACTGTTACACCACACTTCAAGTCAAATGCTTTCCAAAACATTCCTGTATCAATTGCTTAATTATCTGATGTTCTGTTTGATGTTATATTCACTTGATGTTCATACATCAGCTCTTTTTGCAATGAAATCTGATCATAAGACAACAATGGATTTTACACAACATATCATATCCATAACAATTCATACAATAGTCTTTACGCTACAAAGAGAAAGATCACTTTTCTTAGACAAAAAAGAAAAAATCACACTGAATTCAACTCAAATAAAACGAAATTCAGATTATGAAAAACAAAAATAAAATTCAGATTTTACCCTGGCTTGAATAAAGTACCCAGCTGGGATTACTGCTTCTAACTCTTGTACAGGCAAGGTCCTGGCTGCAACTCGTGACAAGGCGGACCCCGTGCTGTGTAAGTGCAGCTGCGCCAGACCCTGAGCTAAGGAGCGCAACATCTGAAAGATAACAGTTTCATTATTTTACAGATCATGGCAGGGCAGAATAGTATAACCTTGGCCTTCCTTTTATTATCAAAATCAGTCTATATGAGGTGGGGTTGAGTTTGGGGTTTAGTTGGATTTAGTTAATCTGACAATAAATTCCCAGTCCATATATTTTGGCAAGACAGAGCTTGTAGATCTTCCTGGCAATCTAAGGTACAGCCAGACTACCAATAAATTTCGCTGGAATCACTGCAAAAT